AAAAAAAAAAAAAAAAAAAAAATCCACTGGAAAGACTCCCCACTCCACAGCCATACCCCGGGCAGGGCTGGAGCACGTGCAAGAGGTGCCTCTGCTGTGGAGAACAAGCTGGCAGGAGACCAGGACTAGCAACTCCACTCCTAGGTTTAGACCCAAGAGAAATGAAAACTCATGTCCGCCGGACACAGGCGCATGACTCACAATACACAAAAAGGGGAACAGCCCAAACGTCCATCAGCTGATGAGTGGCTAAATGAATGTGGTCTGTCGATGGAACACTATGCAGCTGTAAAAAGGAATGCAGCACCAATCCAAGCCACAATGTGCATGAACCCATTATTTTCAAATAAGGCTATACAGTGGGCTAGGAGGTAGAAGGAAGCTCTTGCGGGCCTGGTAATGTTCACTTTGTTGATCTGTGTTCTGGTTCAAGAAATGTTTACACTTTGTAAAAAATCATCTCAGGAGGCTGAGGCAGGAGCATCTCGAGCCCATGTGAAGTGCAGCCTGGGCAACATAGGAAGACCCTAACTCTAAAAACATTTTTTTGGCCAGGTGCGGTGGCTCACGCCTGTCATCACAGCACTTTGGGAGGCTCAGGCAGGTGGATCACCTGAGGTCAGTAGTTCGAAACCAGCCTGCCCAGCATGGTGAAATCCTGTCTCCACCAAAAACACAAAATTAGCCAGGTGTGGTGGCGGGTGCCTGTAATCCCAGCTACAGGAGAATTGCTTGGACCTGGGAGGCGGAGGTTGCAGTGAGCCAAGATCATGCCACTGCACTCCAGCCTGGGTGAAACAGCAAGATTCCGTCTCAAAAAAAAAGACAAAGACACAAGCTCCCTCATCTCAAACCCAATGCTGTCTGCCCAACTGCCCATCAGTGTTTACAGGGTCATGACTCTGGACTGTACCTGGAGGGCAGATGACCTGGAGCATGGTAGTGAAACCAGAGAGACTGGGGTTCAAGTTCTGGCTCAGCCAGGGTATAGCTGTGTGGCCCTGGACAAGTCACTTAGCCTCTCTCAGCCTCATCTATAAACTGAAGATTATAATAGCACTACCTCATACAGTTGTTTTTTTTTTGTTTGTCTTTTTTTCAGAAGGAGTCTTGCTCTGTTGTCCAGGCAGGAGTGCAGTGGTGTAGTCTCAGCTCACTGCAACCTCTACCTCCCGGGTTAAAGCAATTCTCCTGCCTCAGCCTCCCGAGTAGCTGGAACTACAGGCGTGCACCACCACGCCTGGCTAATTTTTGTATTTTTAGCAGAGACGGGATTTCACTATGTTGGCCAGGCTGGTCTGGAACTCCTGACCTCAGGTGATCCGCCCACCTCGGCCTCCCAAGTGCTGCGATGACAGGCGTGAGCCACCGCGCCCGGCCTCATACAGTTGTTTTCAGGAGTGAATAAGATACCACAGGAGACATTCTTAAATTGGGCCTGGCCCAAAGAAGGCCCTCACTGTACCATACATGGGGAGGCAGAGCAGCCGGGCCACCCGGGCTCCAGCCTCTGCCTCCACTGCTCACCCGCTCAGTTTCACCCTGGACGTTACTTCCACACAGGATGTCTATCTCCCTAACCGTAAAGTGGACAGAACAAAACCTACCTCAAGGCCAGCAGTGAAGACTCACTGACTTATTCTTAGGGAACCTAGCCCAGTACCAGGCAGGACGTTAGAGCCTGGTGACTGCTGACCGTGACGACGACTGGCACGGCTGTTATTTGTGGGAAGGAAAACAAGGGGAGACAGAAGTGGAGCAGGGGCTCCACCCGAGGCTGCACCAGCCCATCCCCTACCATCTGCTGCTGCTCGGTCCAGTTCACCTCGAAGCCATCAAACGCGTGGCTCTGCCAGTTCTTGTTCAGCTCTCGGATGACCATGGTCTCCACTCTCCGAAGAAAGGCTGTGAGCCGAGACATGTCGTACCGGGACAGGGGCTGCATGCTGACGGGCACAGGGGCCTCCGTCTGCACCTGGGCGTCCACATGACTCCAGGCCTGGGCGGACGCGTTGGCAGTGGCAATGCTGGCCGTCTGGCAACTTTTCTGGGGGGAGGGTGAAAACAAGCATCACCACCTGGCTGTTCTCGCCCAGCCCCCGCCCAGCCCCCTGCCTGCCCCTCCTGCTGGACCTCCTCCTAGGTGCGATGGATCTCCGGCTAGGAGCCTCTCTCAGTGAGGTCTGGGTTGGAGATGGCCCCTTGACTCTCCTATGTCCCACAGTCAATCAATGCCAGCCAACCAGAGCACTGTGTCCGCACCTCAGCCCCAGGGACCAATTCAGGGCTGGCCAAGGGACCCACACAGGCCAGTGAGACCCTGCCCCAGACTTTTGGTACAATTTGGAGGAGCCAGAGGGCTCCATTTCTGAAGACGTGGAGGGCAGGCAGAACCATGTCGGCTCACACCAGCACCCTGGCAGACACATGGTCTGATGCCCATGAACACCCCAGCTTCACACACCACCCCAGCTGCCTCCCTCAGCAGGCAGCCCTCCCAGCACCCGGGCGAGCAATGGCAGCTCCGGCATCCACTATGAGCTGCTGGGCGGGAGGCACAGCACCGCCCCCAGAGGCCTTGCTCTCCACCCTGCCACCACGCCTACTATTCCTGGTCCCCTGCTTAGCTGTACCTGGCACAGGTACAAACATCAGAAAGGGAAGGAGAAGCCAGCCTCCCTATCTTAAAGACATGCCCAATCTTCACCAAACGAAGGCTCTCCGGGCAGAAGCAATGATTGCTGCTGTGAGGGGCTTTCCCCAGGTGGCCAAGGGACAATGACAAGGCCCTGGACTGCCACACTCCCTCCTTCCCATCTCATGCAGGATTCGAGCTGGGCCAGGAGGCAAACCCGGAGGAAGGAAGGGGGCCGGACTCACCAGGACAGTTCTCTTCTGAACAGAGAGGCCTCAGCACTGGTACCCACCCTCATCTCCACAGGCCACTCAATTCCCTCTGCTTGTCTGTGTCCTAGTGAACCGCAAGTCCCCTCGCATAAGACTGTCTGATCTTTGAATCCCCAGCACTTTGCACGGTATTTGGCACAAAGCAGACATTCATTTATACACATACACACGTACACACACACACACACACACA